CTCTTAAAATAAATAAAATAAAATTAGCCAGGCATGGTGGTGCACGCCTGTAGTCCCAGCTACTCAGGAGGCTGTGGCAGAAGGATTACCTGAGCCCAGGAAGTTGAGACTGAAGTGAACCATGATCACGCCACTGTACTCCAGCCTGGGTCACAGAGTGAGACTCCGACTTAAAAAAAAGAAAGAAAAAGAAAGAAAGAAATGCCCACATGGCCAGGGGCTTCTCTACAGACATGAGAACTGAAACAGGAAGGTTTGTAAGGGGGAAAATAAACACATCTGGCACCCAACTCACACCTTCCTGAGACCAGTCTAATCCTAGATACTAGCAACAGATGGGAAGCAGAGAACAGTGGAGAGAGATGGCAGGAGGGAGCTTAGCTCAAACCAGTCCGTGGCAAAGTCATTAGAAAAAGTTTTCCAACAGAAAAATAATGGGCAAGGAGTGGGGTGAGCAACTGGGCGAAGGGAGAATCAGGGCCCAGGAAACCTGATCCCGGAGCCATGAGAGCCTATGCAAAATGTGTATTTCATTAGATCTCAATATTTGGAACTGTAAAACCAAGAACATCTTTATCACTTGTAAATGATGTATCTGCTGCTATTTGTCTTCCTGTCTGTGATAACATGGAGTATTTATGTCTCCATGCTAGTAGTGAGACTTACCCCATTACTGATGTCCTTAATGGCTCTAAAACAGGGAAGCCGGGCTCGGTGGCTCAGCCTGTAATCCCGCGCCTTTGGGAGGCTGAGGTGAGTGGATTGCCTGAGCCCGCGGGTTCGAGACCCACCTGGGCAGCGAGACCTCATCTCTACAATAAATCAAAAAATCAGCCGGGCGTGGTAGCGCATGCCTGTAATTCCGGCTACTCGGAAGGCTGAGGTGGAAGGATCGCCGGAGCCCAGCAGGTCGAGGCTGCGGTGGCTGGGAGCGATCACTGCACTCCAGTCTGGGCGACAGAGTGAGACTCCAACTCAAAAAAAACCCAAAAAACCAAAAACCCAAAAAAAAAAAAACAGGGGCCAAAAACATTCTCCCATCTGCAAGCCACTCAGGTGACCTTAGCTTCACCAGCCTACCTGTTTCCAAACTGAGACCGTTCCCTCAGGGAGCTTCCATTATTCTCCATTTCAGTTCCTCCTCCTCCTTTCTCTACAAGGTAAGAGGGTCTTTTGGATGCCAGGAGCATGGCAGGTGGACCTCCACCAACACCACAGGCCCATGGTTTAGGCAGTATACTTGCTGATAAGAAATAAGATCTTCTCTCCAAAGAATGACTTTCTAGCTAGTGAGGATTATTTACAGCTTCTGACACAGAAGGTTTCAAGTAGAAAATGAACATCATTATTACCACTAACTCCAATGAACTCTACAGGAAGGAGGACCATGAAATCCTCATAGGATGCCTTCAGAGATGTGGTCCGAGAGAACTTGACCATGGGGAAGGGAAGGAATGGAGAAATGCAGGTGAGTCGTTCAGGCACACAATAGGACTTGGGCTTGGCTTTCTTTTTCTAGGTCATCAGTGGTTCTTTTTTTCTAACTGCAGGGTCGGCCCCTTCCAATGTTGCTCTGATACCTATGAAGTGATGCATAGCCTTCAGTTCTAAGACCTGTAGATGCCCAGATGCCTGCCTCATGGTGAAAGTCTTGTCTTAAGTTCCTACCTCCTCAGCCCTCACCTGTCTCATCCAACTGTATTGCCAGGAGCCCACAAGAAAATTCGTCATGGCCAGGCTTGATGGCTTAGCCTGTCATCCCAGCACTTTGGGAGGCCAAGGCATGTGGATTGCCTGAACCCACGGGTTCGAGACCAGCCCGGATAACTTGATGAGAACTCGTCTCTACAATAAATCAAATATTAGCTGGGCGTGGTAGCGCGTGCCTATAGTTCCAGCTACTCAGGGAGGCTGAGGCAAAAGGATCGCTGGAGCCCAGCTGGTCGACGCTGGGGTGTCCATGAGTGTGCCACTGTATATCAGCCTGGGTGACGTAGTGAGACTCCAACTCAAAAAAAAAAAAAAAAAGAAAAAGAAAATTCTTTATGAGTTGGGCTGGTTTGCTCACATTTCATGAAGGGATTTGGCTCAGGCTTTGGTTATGCATGTGTCCACTTGGAATGAGCTCACTGAATCCCACCCTACTAGATGCCACCCATTTTTCAAGACCCCCATCTTGTCCCATTTTTTCCTGCAAAGCATGCTCTGAATATTTAGGCCTCAGGGAGCACCTCCCTCTCCTCTGAACTTTGAATACCACTCAGGATCCATTTCATAGAACATACTGCTCATGAACCATATCATGTTGCCTCTTATTTAATTATGTGTCAGTTTCTTTGGACTCTCTGAGTTAGAGACCTATTGAAGTTGGGATCAAGCTATGTGAGTTAGGGACCTAGTCTACCCAGAATGGCAGAAGGGGCTACTTTTTCTAATCTGTCCACCCAGAAGGGGTTCTTTCTGTTAATTCACACAAAGGCACTGTGCAGACTAGTTTAAACCCTCTCAGACCCTTGTAATTGATTTCAGGCATGTGTAGGACAACCTAGCTGTCATGGATAGATATCACAGTGAGTTGCGAAGGAGAAAAAGCATCTTCCTAGACACCCTGAGTTTCACCATTCAGCAAATGCTTTCTTTCAAGACACCATCATTTTTTTTTTTTTTTTTGAGTTGGAGTCTTACTCCATCACCCAGGCTGGAGTGCAGTGGCATACTCATGGCTACCCCAGCGTCCACCTGCTGTGCTCCGGCAGTCCTTCTGCCTCAGCCTTCCAAGTAACTAAGGCGTGCGCTACCACACCCAGCTAATTTTTTTATTTATTGTAGAGATGAGGTCTCGCTGAGTTGCCCAGGCCATTCTTGAACCCGTGGGCTCAGGCAATCCCCCCACCTCAGCCTCCCAAAGTGCTGGGATTACAGGCTTGAGCCACCGCACCTGGCTGACACCATCTTTTTTAATAAGCAGCAAGTTGACACAGCCTTCCAGACGGAGCAGAACACAAGATACTTTCCAAAGGAAACGAGCAAAAACAAAGCCACCGTGATACAAATAAAATTCTGAGACAGATTGTTCATCCACAATTAATAAACGCCCTAGAAATACAGTCAGAGGTACGGTGTGGGAAAGGAGAAAAGAGAGGACAGGTGAGCTAGCTGAAGGGATTGCAGACAGCGCCGTGGCAGGTTCAGCTTAAGGCCATGATGACTTCCTAGCCAAACCGCACCAAGTTCAGCCCTGAGGCTGAAGAGAAAAGACCTGAATGCTGTATGCTTTGAGGCCCGCAGCTGTGCAGTCTCCTGCTAAGAGGAATTCCTGGTTTCAGCCCTTAAATAAGTCATGCATGCTGATGTTGAGGGCCAGCTGAGAGAAAGGGGCTGCAGTACCAGTCCACCGTTTAGTATTAGCCTTGTGACCTGGAGGGCGAGTCACTTGAACTAGTTTTCTCATCTGCAAAATGAAAGTAACGCCACCTCCCCCATTCATGTATTCATCCCTTCACCAGATATCTGTTAGGGACGTCTATGGGCCAAGCACAAAAGCAACACAGGCGTGGTCGTTGTCTTTACAAGATATCCAGACCATCTCACCAGGCTGAAGTTACAGAAGAGGACAGAATATTACGCAGCCACGAGGAAGGACAATATTATGGGCTTCACAACAACTTGGATGGATTTGTTTTTATTTTATCTTATTATTTTATTTTTGAGTTGGAGTCTCACTCTGTCGCCCAGGCTGGAGTGCAGTGGCACGCTCATGGCCACTGGAGCCTCAACCATCCAGGCTCAGGTGATGCTTCCACCTCAACCTTTCAAGTAGCTGGAAACACAGGCATGCACCATCACGCCTGGCTAATTTTTTGATTTATTGTTGAGATGAGGTCTCACCATGTTGCTCAGGCCAGTCTTGAACCCCTGGGTTCAGGCAATCCTCTTGCCTCCACCTCCCAAAGCGCTGGGATTACAGGCATGAGCCACCGTGCCTGGCTTGGATGGATTTAAAGTCTATCATACTCAGTGATCTATCACAGAAACAAAGAACTGAGTGCCACATGTTCTCACTCATAAATGGACCACATTTATCATGACACTACAAGAAAGGGATTGGCAGTAGAGGGACACTGCTGGTGGGTGCTGGGGGGGGGTGTGTGAGTGCACATAACATCACCAAGGACGCCTGATTCTAAACCAGGTGAAGGGAGGACCAATGGGAGACCCAAACATCACCTGGCCCTGGCCAGTCGAACCTGGTTAATAAGCCTCTCTCTTGGTAAATTGTGTGTCGGCTCTGTTAATCAACTTATGTACCCAACTCTGACTTATACTCCACATCTTTAAAATAAAACATTAAAAAAAAGAAAAGGAAAATGCCTTTGAACCAGAAAGCACCATAATAAGGGAAGATCTTCATTGTCAATGATTTCCACTCTCGATCAAGTTGCGTAACCTGGGAAGTCTAATTTTTCTAGGTGTTCCTATGAGCATCTCTGAAACGAGGTGATTTCCTGCCCTAAAAAGTCAATATCCCAAATGCAAATGAAGAAGTCAAGCCTTTGAAATACTTCTGAATCATGACTTTCTGAAAGACTATTATGGAATGGCCCAGGCACAACAAAAGGATAAAAATAATATGACAAACCCTTGTGGTCCAACTCCCCAGTTTCAGAGAGAAAACATTACAAGGATCTCTATCTGGTGGCGTGCTCTCTTTTCCCCTGAGGGAATTACTGTGATGAGTTTCATGTTTATTCTGAATCACAGTCTTTCCAGAAAATCTGGTGTATAACTAAAAATGATTCACCAGGGAAGAGTTCATCCTACACTTAAGAGTTCCTGGTTGCTAATGAATATCAGGTCACAATAGTGCACATCACAGAAGCTCCAGGACCAGCCTGTTTTCTTCCTGACCACCCTGCTTGCGGCTGACCCAGCAGACAATTAGAAAAAACCCAGTGGCAGGCACTGCCCGCTGCATTTGGAAGGAGTGATTTTGTACTTACCTTGAGGGCCTTCTGGGCAGGTTCACTAGACCCAATTGCGATCAGGTTAGGCCCAGCCATGCTGCAGAAGCTCTTCAAATGCAAAGAGTCGGCCACAGGGACTGTGGAGACAGCATAGTCCTACACAGACAATAGAAAAACCAGCAGTTTAGGAGGGCAGGATAACTCTAAAATGGATTTAAAAATCTGTCTGGACCCTACCGACTCCTCCAAAGGCTGCTAGGGGCCCTAAATACTTGGAAGAAAAACTGGGACCCACAGGTTTGGGCATTGTTCAAATGAAGGCTGTATCTAAGAGCTTCCTTCCAGAGGTGTCACTGCGGCAACATTCTTGAGGGCTGTTTGATCCATGGAGTGGGCTGCTTGGGGAGGGTGTGTCTGAATAGCCCACGCAAACTGTGGCTCAGTGGGGGCTGCCCATCCTCTTGGGGGAACAGAGCTTTCTGAGGGTCGTGTCCTTTCCTAAGCAGTGTGGAGAGTCCATCTCTCCGTAATCAGTAAAGGGACCGGAAGTGGATGCATGTGCAATACCAAGCATGGTTTCCAGCACAGAGTAGCCACTCAAGCATGGGGGACCCTGTAAGAGGTGATGAATTGTATGGAACCTGTGTGAAGCCTTATATATTAAGTGTGATGAATTCTGTGAAATGTAATGAAACTATAACCTCATATATTAAGTATGCTGAAACCGTGTGCTGTGACTTCTCCCCTAAAACTTATAATTCTTGGAAACCCTGGAAAGAACGCCCAACTGGCTATGTTAGATAAGCTAACCAGTTTTTTTCTTGCTTCTGTAACCCCCCGCTGGTAGTGTGTGAGTGTTGTGCGATAAGCCCCTTTCAAATTCTGGCAGGCTTTTCTGTTTTAATTGTGGCGGGCAAGCCCCTCTTCTGGCGGGCTTCGTGTTATTTGAATTTGAATTATAACGGCCTTGCAGATTAAGCGGGCTTTTGCTTATGTAAGAAAGGCCCCAGCCACAGTATGGAGCCCTCGCCTAGAGACTTGTAAGTCTGATGAGTGGCCCTGGCCAGTGGAATCTGGTTAATAAACCTCTCTCTTGGTAAACTGTGTGTCGGCTCCGTGAATCAAACGCTCTGACCCCATATCAACCCCCTGATTCCAATCTGAAACATCTATGTTTCATTACAGAGTCCACTGGGTCTACAGATTTTTTTTTTTTTAAGTGCGGACTGTGTCAGGAACATCTGCCAGGTGGTTTTATAATTATTCACTGGGAGAAAACGAAAGATGCCCATGTCCATGCTAACTTTGTCTGTTGCTCCTGTGTTAGCCCAATGAAGCCAGTTTATTGAGAAATTTGAATTTGATAGCTTGTAATACTTCTTGCAAATGTACAAATATTAGAAATTATTTCACAAAGCCAGTGAAATGTAAACACCATTATTCATGACATCGATTCAATGAGTCTATGAATATTTATGAAGTTATTACTTTGTGCCGGGCATAAATTACCCTTTACCTACCTTAAAAGTATCAGCCAAGATTTCAGCACCTCGTTGATTTGTCCTTTTGGAAAGGCCCACAAAAAATTCTCTGCCTATAACAGACGTCATGGAACATAGTGAGCGGATGGCACTAGTGACTGCATTCGATTTCTTTTCTCTATAAATCATGATCTTAAAATATCACACAGTTGTCTTTTACCATAGAGGACAGCTTCGCTAAAGAGACCCTTGTTTTCTTTACAGAAAACTGATTACAAACTATTGCTCCTAAAAACAAACGATTTCAAATTTATTGAGACAGAAAGTAGAATGGTGATGTCCAGGAGCTGTGGAGAGGGGTAAAGGGGGGAGTTATTGTTTAATGGGTACGAAGTTTTAGTTTGGGAAGACAAAAAAGTTCTGGCATGGTGACAACAGTTGTCCTAAAGAGTAAGCTTTTCAGTTAGACAATCATACAGTCAAACACATTAATATTATGTAACCACAAATGAATAGTAATGACAAGTAAGAGGTACAACAGGTCCTTGAATAGCGTCTTTCGTTCAAGGCCACGTCCATGTCGAGGAGACGAAAACAATCTGTTCCTGGCCGGGCCACTCTCCGTATGGAGTTTGTGTATTCCCCCAGGTCTGTGGGGGTTTTCTCTGGGCACCTCAGTCTCCTCCCACATCCTGAAGATGCGCACACTGGGTGAACTGGGGTGTCTCAAGGGTCCCAGTTTGAATGAGTGTAGGGGGCTGTGAATGTGCCCTGTCATGGGATGGCGTCCTGTCCTAGGTGGGTTCCCACCTGGAGCCCTGAATTGCTGGGAGAGGATCTGGCCACCCGCGACCCTGCACTGGAATAAGCAGGTTAAAAAAGGAATGAATGAATCAATAAAAATTATTGTAAAACAAAAAACTCGTAAAGTACATGAGAATCATACAGATGCACGACATTAAATGATCGGCGAGCCATCACCTTGGTTCTTGCTTGTGTTTGCACAGCGTTTTGGGAGAAGGTGATCCTTAAAATTTTCTCTTTACAAATATTAATTCCTCGATTTAACCCACCATGGCTACAACCACTGTCACTCACTAATTCATCAAAAATTGGATAATTACGTTGTTTTTATTCATCTTTCTTAAATGTATGTGTAGTTCACATTTATTTAAATGTTTAATGTTAGAAATATTTTGGGTCCTTTACCTGTACGATGTCCACTTGTATACCTAATCCTGAATTGTACCCCACATCTTTAAAATAAAAAAAAATACTTTGGGTTTTGACTTAGAAGTTTGGTGATGTTTTTGTGACCAGAAATATCTTTAGAAACATAACTCTTAAAAAAAATTTTTTTTTTTTTAAATTTTAAGGATGTGGGGTATCGTACAGGTAAAGTTTGGGTCCCCAGAAACTTAACTCTGGTTTATGTCAATTGGCGTACTGCAAAATTGGTTTCGTTATATGTTATTTTGTTTAAAGTTGTAGTTTCCAAGACCCCATCAATGATGGTAAGTGTGAACTTACTGTACTACCTTTTTTCCCTCACAAAGAACAATACTAGACATTCCTGATGACTGGTTTTCAGGGCTGACTTCTTAAAGCTCCGTCTTTACTTATTTTATTTTATTTTTGCGAGAAAGCAGGATTTATTGAGAGGACAGAAAAGCTCCCACAGTGGGAGAGGACCCGAAGGGGTTGCCCAGCTCTGTCTTTAAAATTATACATTCATTTTTTCAAATCATAACACCAAAAGAAACCTATCTACAAAGTGTGAAAGTTTCAGAGGATGGGCTGTTTTTACTTGACTTTTCTGAAACTTTGCAAAACATGTGATAAAAATGGCATATGAGCATAGACAAACAATTAGGCACTACACCAATGGGGGAATTCTCATCCTTCCTTTATTTCTTGAAAAATCATTCCACATGAAATGTGGAAAAAATATTCAAAGAAAAATCAGTAATTTTTTTTTTTGCCCTAGGGGATTATGGTAAAGTATAAGAAGAGTTGCCACAAAAAAGGAATTGTTTGATAGATTTTACAAATATTATAACTTTAATCTTCATAATGTCCTCATACAAGGGGTAAATGTCACAGGTCAGGTGATATTATGACACATTCCAAGGACTTATATTGTTGGCAGACATAGGCATCTTTTGTGGCACGTTGACAGTTACTTTAGTAATGGTAAGATTGGGTTGTCCTTTACGAAAACTCACTACATAAAGATCATAGTTTAAGTTAGGGGTAGTTATTTTACTTGACAAAACTATTATTCGCTTTATTAAAAAGTCAGCTACCATGAAAAAATATCAAGTTTCCTTAACTCGTTCAAGATAAAAATAGGTTTGTCAATTTGATTGAAACACAGCTTTGAGAAAAAACATTTAATGCATTGCAACTTTTAACACATTTATAGGGTAGCAGGCAAACGATTTCCATTTTAAAAGATGATGGTCTTTTAAAGGTATGGTAGGAAAGTATGAAGAAAAGTCCATGCTTAAAGTAAGTCAGACTTCTATTTCTGGCAGCTTATTGGATGATATCCCCTAAATGACCTTCCTGAAGGGAACAACTAAAATGTTAGAATTGATGTATTAAAAAAAATTTTTTTTTTGTTTTTATGTCTGTCTTTTATGTCATTTTCTTTTATACCAGTTAATGTGTTTTTGTGTGTTTTTTTAAAATTTCTTTCTCTACTTCAGTCATTTACAGGAAACACCAGGCTGTTTGTCCTAGTGGCAATCCTATATTCTGGTTTTAACTCATTGCTTCCTTGTATCACTTAGCAGTTAAACTATTCCTTCACCCATTGTGTTTTTAGTAAACGGATAGTTTTATGTATAATAGATGGTTAATTAGATTCTCCTTCCATTTTGGGGGGTAATTCAATGATTTTGATACTATTCAGAGGTGGGCTGTACTTCTACTGTATCGTAGCATAAGCCACGAGACAGTCCCATTTTCAGTGATCTAGAATGATCAGTAGGTTCATGTGGCCTCCTGATTCCTCCACCATGAAGTTTCCCATCAAGCTTTCACATAATAGTTTTAACATCCTTCAATAATCATTACACACATCCTTTTTTTTTTTTTAAGGAATCTGCATTTACTGGCTGGAATTATAAAAGAAAAACCTGGCTGGGTGTGGTGGTTCACACCTGAAATCACAGCACTTTGGGAGGCTGAGGCAGGAGGATTGCTTGAGTCTAGGAGTTTTAGATCAGCCTGAGCAACATCCTTAGACCTTGTCTCTACAAAAAAGTCAAAAAAAAAAAAAAAGGAAATTTTCCTCAGTCAAATATTTGGCCTACTTGAAATAGAATTCATAAAAGAAAGATAGGATAAACGCTTGAGTCTTTCCTTTATGTATCAATTATGTATGTCCAGCAACTTAGAGACAGTAAGTTTTAAAAACATCATTATCTACATAATAAGTCAAAGATTAAATCATAATGGAAGTCAGAAGACATTTAGAATTAAATGCTAACACAAATATTCATATCAAAAGAAGGATTCTGCTGAGGCAGTACATGGAGGGAAAGTTATATAGTCTTAAACAGTGACATTATAGAAAATGAAAGGCTCAAATTCATGAGATCAAATTCGAACCTAAGATGCAGGAAAAAAAGAACAGAATGAAAAGAATTTGAAGGAAGAAAAAGGTAGAAACAGAAAGGAAACATTCAAGAGAGAGGATTCAACAAAGCCAATAGTTGGTCTTTTGGAAAGGCTAATAAAGTTGGCAAACCTCTGGCAAAAAAAAAAAAAAGAAAAGAAAAGAAAAGAAAGAAGGCACAAATTAACATTACCAATACACTAAGCATCAGAGAAATGCAAGTCAAATCACACTGAGATACCACTTAACTCCAGATTTAAGAATGGCCATCATTAAGAAAACAAAAAACAACAGATGCTGGTGAGGATGAGAAGGAAAGGGAATGCTTCTACACTGTTGGTGGGAATGCAAACCAGTTCAAGCTCTATGGAAAACAGTGTGGTGGTTTCTAAAAGATCTAAAAATCCTCAGCCTTTGGGAGGCTGAGGTGAGTGGACTGCCTGGGCCCGCGGGTTCGAGACCCGCCTGGGCAACTTGGCGAGACCTCATCTCTACAATAAATAAAAAAATCAGCTGGGCATGGTAGAGCATGCCTGTAATTCCGGCTACTTGGAAGCTGAGGCAGAAGGATCGCCGGAGCCCAGCGAGTCGAGGTTGCGGTGGCCGGGAGTGGCCACTGCACTCCAGTCTGGGCAACAGAGTGAGACTCCAACTCAAAAAAAAAAAAATCTAAAAATTGACCTTTCATCCGACCCAGCAATCCACCTTCTGGGAATATACCTGGAGGAACTCAAATCATTCTACAAAAAGACACCCGTGCACGCATGTTTATTGCAGCACTATCCACAATAGCAAAAATATGGAACCAAACATGCTGGCCATTGAAAGTGGATTGGATAAAAAAAATGTGGTACCTAAACATGATGGAATACTACACAGCCATAAAGAAGGACAAAATTATGGACTTTGCAGCAACTTGGGTGGATTTAGAGTCTATCATACTCAGTGATGAATCACACAAACAAATAACTGAATACCACGTTCTCATTCATAAATGAACCCTGAACACCTATCATAATCCTACAAGAAAGGGATTGGCAGATGTGAGACATCAGTAAGGGTGCACGATCCCAGTCCAGGTGAAGTGAGGTCCAATGGGAGGCCTAAACTTCACCTGTACGTAGTCACTTATGTATCCAACCCTGACTCGTATCCCACATCTTTAAAATAAAAAAGAAATTAAAAACATTACACACACACACAAAACATTACTATTAAAAGGAGAATACAGCTATAGTCAGCAGGGCCTGTCTATATGTAAGTTCCACTACAGTTCAAGGAATACACAATTCAAATAGTATTGATTTTAGACAACAGAAAAATAGGAAATATTCCCCAATACATAAGGTTAACATAAATCTTTTACCAAAACCTGATAAGGACAAGAAGAAAGAAAAATTATAGGCTATAAAATAATGGTCATAACAAAATATTGGCAAACTAACTACAACACTGTATTAAAAAGAGAATAAATCATGATCAAATTTGATTTCACCCCAGGGATGGGAGACTGGTCAAATATCAGAAAAGTCAGTGAATATAATTAACTACATTAACAGATTAAAGAAGAAAATCCTATCATCTCATTGAAGCAAAAAGAGTTTATCCCATCACCTGAAATTCAGTTCAGGTGCTTAACTTAGAGAAACTCTAAGAATGTACACCGCAGCATTGCCGATAATAGACAAAAACTGGAAAACATCCAAATATACATCAGCAGTAAAATGAACGAATACATTGTGGTGTATTCTTACCACAGAGTACTGCGGAATGTTGAAAATGAACTATAGTTACACATATCAACTTAGATCAAGAGTAGAAAAATCACTTAGGAGTTTATGTAGGGTGACTCGAATAATATAAGTCTATAAGACAAGCAAAACTAAACAATGTGTAACTTAGGAATATATATATTAAAGTAAAACTCAAATAAGACAAAGCAATGATTAATACAAAATTCAGAGGCTGGGAAGAGAAATGGGTCGGGACTGGGGACCTAGAGACTTCTATGATTCTGTCACTGTTCTATTTCTTAAGCCAGGTGGTGGACACCCAAGTGTTCACTTTAGTATTGGTCTTTAAACTGTACATAAACATTGTATAACTCCTTTTCATGTACTCTATATTTCAGGAAAATAAATAAAAGTAGAGATAAGCTGATGCTGCCTATTGAAGAGAAATGAGATTGTAACAATTTTTGCCAGTGGTTGCTCGCCTGACTGACAGATTTCCCAGCAGGAAGTAGAGTTGGAAAGTAGCTTTCCTTCTGTCTATTTCCTGATAAATTATTAATGAATCTCTGAGTTACAGAAGAAAGAGGACGCAGAGCACATAGAAAGTGCTACACATTTTGTTTCTTACATAAGTCTTCCTAATCCCCAAATTGAGTAGGTATGGTTGTACAACCCGGTAATTGCAATGAATGCCACTGGAATTGTACACTTAAAGATGGTTAAAAGGCAAATTTCAGATCATGTGTGTTTAACCACAATAGTAAAGAAGAAGAAAAGTGAAAAGTAGCAGATAGAAGGCAGGACCAAACGTGAAGTATAAATGAGGCGCTGAGCAGATGCAAGTCTACCAACACTATCTCAGTTTTGGACAAAGTAACCATTCAAACACAAATTTATGCACAGAATATGAAAAATTAAAAAGTCTACAGAGAGTCTCAAAGGCAAGCCCCAGTATTTTTGGCAGCAGAAAACAACAGCTTGTTTCTCTAAGAAAATGGGCTTTGGTGAAAAGCTAGATGTGTCAATAACCCTTCCTTACAATCGAACTTTTTAAAAACCAGAATATAGCCATATAATGAATAACTTATTGTAAGCAGGTACTGATAACACCTGAATCTGAATTTCAGGTGGTGGGACAAACTCACTTTGCTTCAATGGGATGATGATAGGATTTTCTTCTTCATTAGAAGATGGGTCAAAAACATTAGGCTTGAGATGCTGTGGAAGGACCTTTGACCAAAGGAAGAGATGCCTAGTGTAAGTTGTGCCTTCACTAGGAGATTTTTAGGGGATCTGTTCAGATCAGCTATTTAGATAACTAAACGGGCTGTGAACGTAGCTTGTGGAAAGCATATTTCAAATGCTGGCTGTACCTGCTTACAATAAGTTATTTATTAGCTGGCTATGTTCTGGTAAAAAAGAGTTATATTGTAAGGAAGTGTCATTTACACATCTGGCTTTTCACAAAAGCCCATTTTCTTAGAGAAACAAGCTGTTCTGTGCGGCCAAAAAGAATGAAAGTGCCATCAATGGGAGACACAGAGAATATTCTAGGGGAACTTACTAGGCAGATTCAAAGAATGCCTGAGTCTGCTTGTGCACACCCGGAGCTGAGAATGCAGCGTAAGCCTCCCTGACTCCTCGTGGGGTGTTTTTAGGGTTCAACGGGCATGCAAACCCAACCCCAGAGGCCAACAGACAATGATAGCAAGGTCACACCGTGCATAACTTCCTGGGATACTATCCACACAACCCCTGATAAGAATGGTGCCCCTGGAGCTGGTGACACAGTGGCCCCACCCATAGGGGCAGTATGTAACACTAAGCAAGGGACTCCCCAAATGTCACAGGAGAAACACTATTTTTCCTTCAGGAACATTAGCTATGTCCAAATGTAAGTAACTCAAAGCAGTCTTTTTAAATTAAAACAAAGATGGCGAGATCTTGGCTATATGTCTGAGCGGGGGACCTTCCCAAACTTGGAATTATCTTTTGGAGGGTGGTCCCTTCTAGTACACTCAGAGTTTGTTCTTCCAGATCAAACAGCCAACCAAAATTTTTATCTGGAAGTTTTGAGAAGGTTGTGTCATGGTTTGTGGAAGAATGTCCCGAGTTGTGGCAAACAGGTGACCGGTTCTTCCTCCACAGCAATGTTCCTGTCCACACCATGCTAAGTGTTCAGCAGTTTTTGACCAAAAACGTCATGGTCCCTATGCCCCCCACTCCCCGTTCACCCAATCTCACTCAGAGCAACCTTTTTTTTGTTTGTTTCCCTGAATGAAAAAAGTCCTCAAAGGGAAATGTTTTGCTGATGTGGAAGAGGTGAAACAAAAAACGGCGGAAGCACTAAAAGGCTTCAAAATTGACTCAGAGCAGTGGGAAAAGCAATAGGTGTATTGCATTAAATAGAGAGTCCTTTGAAGGTGACTGAAGTTTACACATGCAAGCATAAATGCACAATTTTTTTATAAATAAATTCCGGTTTTTGAGGTTCCCCCCTTGTATACATGGGGTTCAGTATAAAATTTGTATCAGTTCAATATTAGACTTCCAGGAATCTTCACGCTTCCATTGGGTCATTCAGGGCTACATCTCCAAATCTTGAGGACCAGCCTCTGCCATTAGGGCTACATTGGTAAAGTAGGTTATTTATTCTCTGATATTTATGGGAAAATACACTCTCACTGTAAATCAAACTTACTATCAATTATCTTGCTCATCAGTATAACCAGAATGAATCTAGGGAATCCAGATTTTACACATGATTCTATAAAACACTAAACATACGATCATAGTGAGTTCAAAAGGTTAAATGCTAAAATCACTGTTTCTTTCGTAGCCATATACACATTGTAAAAACTGATTTTAGTTAGAGCAATAATAATATTAGCTGTTCATATTTTGCTGCATTCTGCTATTATTCACCTGGCATTAAGCCAAGTCCATTTGCATGGAAAGTTATTAAAATTCATCTTGCCATCTGGAAAGAAAATTATTTGTAAATGACACTAATCTTGAATTAAGAATCCTTTAAATACAAACCAGATATACAATCACGCAGTGGAAAACTATGCAACCCATAAACTCATTTTGTAGAAGAATATAGTAGAAGCAAGATACATGCTGATGCTGTACACACTGAGAATATTCTTGTAAAAACTATGCAAATTATGCATGCAAAAGTACAAAAAGAACACACACCAAATATTGAAGTGATTACATTAGAATGGAAAGTGGTCATTTTTTTATTGTGCTTTTCTGTCTTTTCCAAATTCCCTGCATTTAGCATCTATGACTAAAAAAAACCTATAACAAAACAAGTAAATACAAGCCAGTTATTAGAAATATTTTTGGGTAGAAAAAAATAAATACAATTATACCTGTGAATAAGACATCTCCACCATCTAAGGTTGCATTTTCATCTTTCATTTCTACTATATTGAGCTGAAGTTTTTCTAATGCTTCTTTCATCATGTCAACCTGTTGAAAATAAAATGACTCATTAATATGCTACCATTTCCTAACAAGAAAACCAGCTAACTAAAATGTTGGAACACTAAGTCACACTTTTACATGCACACACGCAAACACATACATATACTTATCCTTGTGAATATATGCATACATGTAGTATGGTGTAGGACAAGTCATAATCATTTGTAAGAGAAAAAAATGATCTGTTAGAGATTACTTCTAGTCAAAAGTCAATATTGAGTCAATATTATGGTCCCTTTTTCTGCAGAAAGGTTGACTAGTTAAGATACTGTGAGAGGCTGATTGGTTAAGACACTGTTGGAGTCCGACCAGTTAGGATAATGTTGAACTTTGACCAGTTAGGACTTTTTAGGGCACTGGAGAAGACTGATTAGTTAGGACACTTTTGGAAGGCTGACCAGTTAGGGCACTGTCGAAGGCTGATTAGTAAAGGCACTGTAGAAGGCTGACCAGTTGGGCACGGTTAGAAGGCTGACTAGATAGGGCACTGTAGAAGGCTGACTAGTTAGGGTACTGTTGGAAGGCTGATTAGTAAGGGCACTGTAGAAGGCTGACCAGTTAGGGCACTGTTAGAAGGCCGACTAGTTAGGGCACTGTAGAAGACTGACTAGTTAGGTCACAAGAGTGAAGAAAGTGGGAAGTATAGCAATACTTCCAATCCTCTTCCCCGTGTCAGAAAGTATAAGATTTGATCTTAAAGCTTATGTCACTTAGTCAGCATTATACACACAGAGTAATATAGGAAGAAATTTCAATGACAATAACTAGTAACTTGAAATCTCAACCCATAAGACCGTCATTACTTTTTTTTTTTTAACTTAGAAATCATAGTTTATTTAAAAGCGAGAGAGAGAGAGAGAGAGAGAGAGAGAGAGAGACAGACAGAAAGAAGAGTCACCTCCCCAAGGCAGGGAAGGGGGCCAAAGCCAGGACACAGTTCAAAGAGCACATGGCCACACCATAGCTTAGCAAGGCAATGGCTGACAGTCATTACTTTCTATTCAAATATTTTCTAAAAGTCAGAACGCCTACTGCTTCTCCGTAAAGCTAAACTGTTACTTCAGTTCATACTCAGACAGTTAATATGATTATCTATCTTGTAAAGCCTAGTTCCCAAGAGATGATTAATAAACACAACAATAACAATCAAACCAATGGATATTTGAAAATGAGTTTCAGGGAAGTTCTATGATTCCAGGGTGTGTGTAAAGCACAGAGATCTTCTGGATTGACTTAGGGAACATTTCTAGTGAGGTTTACTTTAATACAAGAAAAAATGTGAAGCATAACAAATTGAAGCTCACAGTTTAATTCAAATCCTTCTAGCGCTCCACAAACAATTTAAATATTTTTGAAGGTCTGTAAAACCTTTAACATAGTAAATACATCCATTGAGATCACATTGTACTGGGCAAAACGGGTAGATCTGCCAAGATACAACATGCTGGGTACACAGAGTGAATTGTCAGTGAAGAGTTTAGGAAACATAAATATAGCAGAGTTACTTCTAAAGTCATAAAAATATGGAAACACTTGACAACAAGCCTGACATTCATGCATTCAAAAAACATTAAAGAGGATACGAAGTAAAATAAATATCTCATCTCATCCTTGTCCTGGAACTCATGTAAAAATTCCATGAACCAGAGTGACTCAGAACAATAAAAATTATTTCCATGGACAAAATGGTCTTAATGTTGTAGTAAATACATCCAGTGACCTCTTTTAACAGCCGAATCAGTTTTCCTATGTAATAGGAAGTGGAATCGTTGCTATAACATAAAAAAGGAATAAAGCAACATTTACCATGACTTGTGGGGCTACCATGAACGCAGGAAAACACAACTGTTTCCTTCTGGCACCTCTGCTTCTTTGCTCATGGAAAATTCACTGAGCTTAGGGAGAGATCATGAGAGCTGAGCTACAGTTACTTTTTGTTTCTAATACAACTTAACATTCTATAAGTCTTATAGAATGTTAAATGTAAATTGATAGAATGTTAAGTCATATTATATAGTATATAATGAAGCTATTGTTTCTATTATAAGGCAACATTTCAAAGATGTCTAGGAGTTCAGCAGTAACATGGATTTTGGTCTGAAAAGTTTATCTGTGATTTATGCACCATCTCAACTCAGGAACTTGACATTCAACTCATAAAGGAGACAGAATTAGAGATGCAACTATATACCAGTTTCAGAGACACTGCATCTCTTTAAAAGTCCTATGTCTTCCAAAGTTAAAGTCTTAGAGGATAAAATGTTTACGGTTTCTTAAAAGTTAAAACTGTTGCACTGAAAAACTAGCTTCTGTGCAGGGGCAGAACTTTTTAAAAAAACACAATCACATCTACATAAACCAAGTCATCAGGTTAGGTGCATACCACAAATGTTGATGATACTACATTACTTTTAGAGTTAAGCGCATGGATGAGTTTTTTTTTTTCTTTTTTAAAAAAGGTAAGCATCAAGTAAATAATTCTGATAATTGCAGTGCTATGTGGCATCAAATCAGCAATGCTAACCCGAGGGAGACTTCTGGAGAAGAAACAAGACAGGCTTCACCCCCAGGCTGTCCACTGAGAAGCACACACTCTTGGCATTGAGGGCCCAGTGAAACAGACAAACTCAGCTGCACACAGGTCCAGCGTTGCTCTGGCCGGGGCCAATAGCAAGCCTGCTATTCAGGCAGTTAGAACGCTAAATATAACACAGAAGTGGGAATTTTTGCAGGAAAAGATCCAAACCCCGAGCCTTCAAGAAACTGCCCATTCTGTGGCTACATAGCCATAGCTAATGTTGACTTAATTAACTTTCAAGAGGGGGGGGGGGGGAAAGACCAAATAACACACCCACCTTTCACTGAGACACCAACCCTGCAGAGTGGAACTTAGCATTACTCAGAGAAACCACCAGGACAAACAGTTTGAATTCCAAAGGCTGAGTTGAATGGGTCATTTTAGCCCACAAAATTGGAAATAAAAGGGAAAATTAGAGAAACAATCGTGATTAATTTAAACTTCAATTTAAGACTTAGAGTATGAGTGTATACAGTAACTTTCATTCTCTATTCAAAGGTGTACAAGCCCTTCTCTCTTCATGTACATGAATTTTTTTTTTTTTGAGTTGGAGTCTCGCTCTGTTGCCCAGGTTGGAGTGCAGTGGCACGATCACAGTCACCATGCTCTCGACTTGCTGGGCTCAGGCAGTCCTTCCACCACAGCCTCCCACATAGCTGGAACTACAGGTGTGTGCCACCACCCCCAGCTAATTTTAATTTATTGTAGAGATAAAGTTTTGTCAAGTTGCCCAGGCTGGTCTTGAACCCCTGGGCTCAGGGAATCCTTTCGCCTCTGCCTCCCAAAGTGCTGGGAGTGCAGGCATGAGTCACCATCACCGCGCCGGCGCTCGACGCACTTTGATTTCATCTTGTAAGTGTTAGACTCACATTCTTTTTTTTTGCCCCATGTTTTCTCCTTCTGTCGTTTACCATAGCACAGATCCCTTCCCCCTTTCTGGGCCACAGCTCTCTCAGACCACCTCTGCCACCTCCCTCCCTTCAACCCACCCTTTGTGCTCTTTTTTTTGGTATCAATATTTTTTATTATGATATTGTGGAGTACAGTTAAGGGTTAGGTATACAAATACATTTCATTCAAGCACTCTGTTGATAAGAGGTGTTTCCCCGCCTTTGTGCTCTTTAAAGCACGTAGTCAACTGAAGGTACTGTCAGACCTCTGTACGGGTTCTGCATCCTCAGATTCAACCAACCACGGATCAAAAATATTTGAAGGGTCGGGCACAGTGGCTCATGCCTGTAATCCCAGCGCTTTGGGAAGCGGAGATGAGAGGATTGCCTGAGCCCAGGGGTTCGAGACCAGCCTGGGCTACTTGGTGAGACTTCGTCTCTACAATAAATAAATAAATAAATTAGCTGGGCATGGTGACACATGCCTGTAGTTCCAGCTAGTTGGAAGGCTGAGATGGAAGGATTGCCTGAGCCTAGCAGGTCGAGGCTGTGGTGGCCGTGAGTGTGCCGATGCACTCTAGCCTGGGTGACAGAGTGAGACTCCAACTCAAAAAAAAAAAAAAAAAAATCCAAGGGATTAAAAAATAAAAATAAAAATACAATGATAAAAATAACAGAAGTAAAACAACGCAGCATAGCACCTTATTTACCTAGTATCTACATTGTATTAAGTAGTATAAATAATCTAGAGATGATTTAGCTTATGAAGGTATAAAAGAGAACATGTGCCAGTTATATGCAGATAGTATGTGATTTTATATTAGGGACTTGAGCATTCATAGATTTTGGAGGACCGGTCCTTCTTAGATACGGAGGGATGACTAAAATTTTTTTACTTCCCTTGTTTCCAGTCCTTTCTTTTCTGGAATACTAATTGTAATGCGGTAACCCCAAATCTGAGAGGGCTTTGTGTGTAATGCTTACCAATTCCAGAAGGTCCAGCAGGGAAAGACATTGGTTTATTTTTTATTTTATTTTTATTTTTATTTTTTGAGTCGGAGTCTCACTCTGTTGGTGAGTGCAGTGCTGGAGTGCAGTGGCACGCTCACGGCCACCACAGCCTCGACCTGCTGGGCTCAGGCTCCTGCCTCAGTCTTCCAAGTAGCTGGAACTACAGGCGTGAGCCACCATGCCCAGCTAATTTTTTGATTTATTGTAGAGACAGGTCTCGCCAAGTTGTCCAGGCTGATTTTGAACCCCTGGTCTCAGGCAATCCTCTCGCCTCCGCCTCCCAAAGTGCTGGGATTCCGGGCGTGAGTCACCAAGCCTGGCAAGACACCGGTTTATTAAAACTTACAGGAGGCCCCAGAGCAATTAAGCTAAGCATTCCCATTCCCATACGGTATTTACAATTACATTGATTAAGCATGGCGACTACATTCCTTTCAGCTTTGCTTGGTTCCCTGCACCCCATGACTCATTCCTGGGAATATGCACACCCTTCAGAGACCAGCCTT